CGCCCCGCAGTGCGGCCCGGGACGCTGTCGGGCAGCGTGTGTTTGTGTCCGCGCGCGTGTGCGTGCCTACAGTTGCGTAACTTGGAGGACTTTTTGGAGACTTTCGTAAGTATAATGCTCAGCTTTGTTTGCCCGGGACTTTAAAAAGCGGAATCGAGAGCTGACTCCTGGGTGACCTCAGATGATCAGGACCCGGAGGGTTAGGACTTAATTCTGGGTTTGGAGCTGGAAATGAAGGGAGAGAGGAGGGGAGGTGAAGGAGGAAACGGGCGGAAAAGTTCTGGTTAAGAGATATCTCCGTCCCCTGCCTCCTCCCTGCCTTTCAGGGTTAAAAGTTCTTGGTGAATATCTCTAGCTGAGACATTTTGGATTAATAGATAACTCATAAGCCGCATTCTTCTTCGATGAGTCAAAGACCCCCGGACCTGGGCGATTAGCTTTTGTAAATTTAGGGATGATACAGAAAGGGGGAAGCAGAACAAAAAGGGTTAAAAACTTAACCAAATGCTCCACGAGGATGTTTTAATAGACTTGTGGCTTCAGAGCATACATTTTATACGTTATGTCCGAAGTAATGATTAAAAAGAAATACCAATTGCGGCTGCGGAGCTTTCCTTCTGTGGAAACAAAATTTAGTAGAAAGTGGACGTGGGTGCGGGGCAGAGGGCTGAGGCACAGACGTTCGAGAATTTTGCAGTTGGGACGTTTGTAGGAGCCTATCAAACGGCCCTTCCTGCAGGTACATTGTCTGGCGTCCAGGAAGCAGTATGTTTCCCTTCTTTTTGAGACCCCCACATAGTTGAGATATAAACATTCTACGAGGAATTTTAAAGCGTGTGCGGATGGAGAAAATGTACATCTCAATACAATCCATACAAAGTTCTTACAATAACCGCATCCCGTTAAAGAGGGTGAATTCTTTAGTTCTTCAGAAAGTAGACTGATACTAAAGCGGTGTAGGGTGATGGGATTATTGTAGACACACTGTTGTGTACACAGTTAAATCCTGACAGTGAAGCCAAACGTTTTGGAGAAATTTCACAAATACGTATATGATCTTTACATGTTACGCATTTGTGAAATGGCAGCTATTTAAATTGGGGAGATACAGGAGGGACCTAAAGTCATGCAAAACAATACAGAATACAAGATTTTACTCTGAACACAGTGTGTGACAATACAACCTAGGTGAATTGTGTGAAGCCGATAATTGCCTTCTTACCTGAGGAAATTGCCTATTAAATATTATCTTGAAAAATTTGATTTACAGGCTTGTTGTTTCATAACTTCTCGTGTAGAAATACCACTGGCATTTCTTTTTTTGAAAGAGATGAAAACTTGAATTGCAAGTTCCACTTTTTTCTTGGAAACTTACTGGCTGCTTTGCAGTTTATAGTCCTCATCATTTACCATTTTTAAAATGATAGTTTGGATTTCTTGGAATTGCTCTATATTTAATTCACTTAACACAGCAAGATAATCATTGCTTCAGAAACCTATTTCCGTCAGATTGGCAATCTGTTTACTTTGAAAGGTAAAAGAATATCTTCTGCGAAACCATTGAGAAAACTTGTAGTTGGTCACAACTACCAAAGTTACCTGTTTTATGTCTTTCTTACATGCTTTTTTATGGGTAGAAAAATGGGTAAGTTTGTGTGTCCCCCAAACCTTAGCTGTTCAACTTAAAGTTCCAGAGAAGATAGCTTTTCTCTTGAGCCATCTCTGCTGAATTGCTTCCAGGACTGAGTCTTGCCTCTTCATTAGTGTGAGCTTGCATGTAATAAGTGCAGTGAACAGTAAGGGCCATGACGGGCCACCCCAAGTATAGTGTCTTTCACTTACCTGTCCTGTTGTTTGACAGAGTTTTTATATGTCCAAATGCCTAGGTATCAGTATATTTTTTTTTAAGCAAAACACTAATATTTTAAAAGTGAGATAGCAGGAAAATGCCAGCCCTCAAGTTGTACACAAGGTGCAGTGTACAAAGCAGATGGAGCGAGGTTTATGTTAGAAATCCAGGGAAGGAGAATTGGCTTGAGCAATCCAGGTAATTTTGCACGCGCGCGCGCACACACACACACACACACACACTTACATGGTGTTTTTGAAAAACTCCTAAGCTTTTTTTTTCTAACCCTGAAAGCCACAAGTGAAATAAATACGGTATTTGGTGAGTCCCTTAATGTGCTCAGCATTATATAAAACCATGACACTGGACCCTTTCCCTGCCCACCCAGTGGGTCAGCAATTTGTTCTCACACACATTTAAAAGCCTTGGCAGTGGCTTGCAGTAAACAGAACACACATATAACATGTGTACATGCATAATGACAAGAGAGAAAAAATGTGTTTGATTGTATTTCTGGTGGCCATAAGATTGATGTGGAAAAATGAGTCCAATTATAATTAAGCAAAAATGTTTATTTCATAGGTTACCAGGGTGGGTTAGGCTTTCTACCACGTTGGCAAATCCAGGTTGTTTTTTTTTTTTTTTTTTGGTGTGTGGTGGGGTGGGGACAAGTTTCTCTTATCATTCATTATAGTTTAACTCCATTTGAGAATTTCTGGTGGCTTGTGCTGCAGTAATGATGCTGAAATGCTTATTTGGCTCCAGTGGTATAGAATGAATAATCCAGGATTCAGGAGCATTTTTGCAGGTTTTTAGGGTTGGAGGTTTTTGAAAATTTGTGCCGAACGCATACTTCTATTTTGGATAGCACTTAAAACTTTGAGGAGAATAATTTAAGATTTGGTGAGGCAACATTGTGAAAGAGATAATACACCTGGATTCTAGTCTGTAAAGAAAAAGTAATTATAAAAATCTTCCTAGGATCTGAGATTTTATAAGGTTTATGTATATATATGGGGAGGGTGTCTGGTCATTTTTTGCATCACTAATTATTTTACAATTAAAATAATTCCTGGAGTTTGTGTTTAATTACAAATTAAACTGGATTTCATTAAAGTTAATAAATATACAACTAAAAATCCATAATATTTGTTTTGTCTGATAAATTATCATTCCTGTTTTCATGTGTTTAGATATATCAGGACCTTTTTTGCCTTGTAGATAAATTATTTGTTCATTACTGAATTTTCCAAATAGAAAGTTCTTTTTTGGAAATCAGATAAATATGTAGTTTGGTTTTATCTTCAGTTTTATTTTACTCATGTCATTGGGTACTTTTGAGGCTGATTGTAAACCACTTCTACCAGGGATTTTATTATGTTGAAGCAGTTTTATTTAAAGTGTAAATCAGTTCAGTCAAAGCAGTTGAAGGATAAATTACATTAGAAAAGTGAAAATCTTGGCGTTGTTGGAGGATTGATAGAAAAGATGTTTGGCAGATGTTGGGCAGAAATCACATTAAATCAAATCTTTATAGGTTCATACAAATCTTTACCTCACATTCCTTCTTTGTAAGTACTTAGTAATTCTGCCAAAAAATTGGCTAAGAAAAAATTGGCAAAGAAAAAAAAATTGCAAAGAAAAAAAAATTGTAGTTGGCATAGAACGGGTAATGTCAGTGATGTGCAAAGCTCAGGTTTTCATTGAGCATTAGGCTTAATCTACATGATTATTTTGGGATGGTATAGACTGGATTTTTTTTTAAACAATATAACTAAATTTGGAGTCTCTTATTCCGAAGCAAATCTAATACAATAAACTTGTATTTTAATCACAGAATAGGATTTGGTGACAGTGATTTGGATAGAAATGTAGTGATCTCATAGTGGAATGGTGTGGCGAGCAAGACCCCTGCCAGTATGGCTTGCACTTGAGCTATGTTTGGAAAGGCAGTTTTATAATTTCCCTGATAAACCTTTGTGTACATATACAATGATCTTTGTTTCCAGTTGCATTTATTTTTTGGTTTGGATGGGGAGGTAGAGGTTGTTCTTTGGAAGTGTTTTTGTGTTTTCATATATTTTTGTTTTACGTTTGGAGGCTCATATTAAATTTTGTTTTGAGGATAAAAGTGTTCAGAGCTGGCCATGAGGCAGTAAACTGGGAACTTGAGCTGCAGGGCAGTGGTGATACAAACTAACGTAGTGTTTCTGAAAGACTGGAATTATGTATCAAAATGTGTTCCAGCACTTTGGCTTAGTACTTTTATTATTAAGGATTTAAGGGAACAGGGTACAATAAGAGTTTATTTATAGGAATGATTATTACAGTTACTTATGATAGTGAGAATTCACAAAGACTATGTGTCTGACAGAGAAATTGCAGAGCAAATTATTATATTATTCCAGGAAGGAGATATGCAGCCATTAACATCTATGCTTTTAAAGGGAAAAATAGATTTTATATGTATACAACATTCTATATATCTGTATATCTACGTAGATTACACTTAGTCTAGTCTATATAGACATATACATATATCAGAAACTTATTCTCTCACAGTTCTGGAGACCAGAAATCTGAAATCAAGGTGTTTGCAGGGCATTGCCGCTTGAAGGGTGGTAAGGAACAATCACTTTTTTTTTTTTCTGAGGTACCGAGGATTGAACCCTGGGCTTTCTCGTGGAGCTACATCCTACATCCTCAGCCCATTTTTTAATCTTGTATTTTGAGGCAAGGTATCATTAAATTGCCCAGGCTGGGTTCCAATTTGCAGTCCTCCTGCCTCAGGCTCCTAGAGTGCTGGAATGACACGTGTGCACCCACGACCAGCTGAGAATCCTTTCTTCTTTCAGGTTTTGGTGGCTCTAGATGTTTTGAAGACTGCATTAAGGGAGTAATCTCAGGTTATAACATTAACTGGAAAGAGCAGATTTTAAGGTTTTATGTTATGCCAGTTCTTAAATATATATGTAGAACCAAAAATAAATAAAATGTGTGTGATTGGTGGGTTACACATAATTATTACTTTCTGATATATTTGTTTATGTTTTCTAAAATGGCCTTGTGAACAAATGATGAAATACCTGTTCTGAAGATTTTATGAAAGTTCTTTTAGCTGTGTGTAGATGTCCAGTCCATCGGGTTGGTCACATTTAGTTTTTTCTCACAAGCCTGGTGGCAGGAATCAGACCTGTTCCTTTGCTCATGCTCTGTCTTCATGACATTTGTTTCACTTACTGCTTTATCCTGGATC